AATTTATTGGAACTAAGCTGGAACAATAAAAATTATAAAATGATTAAATGATAAAACATGAGGTAAAGTTCTTTTTAATTTAATTGGTGCTTTTTAAGTGTATTAATTTATTTATTTATTTATTGGTCCATTTATATATTTCAGCTTTTATTTCTAATTATGTCAGTTTCGGTCCTCCACAGAGACATAAAACATGGTGCTAAACTCACTTTTGTAATGCTTCAGTTTCTGAAACCAGAATTGTTTTTACAGTTAAAACTGCATTTATGATGTTTTAGTTATTTGCCTTGTCTCAAATATTATAGGTGCTGTTGTTTAAATCCAAGTATTTTAGAACAATCTGAACTCATTTATATGTGTGAWGTTCAGGTTTTTAGTTTTGGAGAATTTTTATTGTTTTGTGTATGTGTGTGTGTGTGCAGGAAAATCCTAATTTGTTCATTTGAAGTAATGTTTAGGTGTCTGTAGCATGGCACACTCATTTAGCACTTAGGATGTCAACACTGGGTTAATAATTAAAGAACATGTTTTTAATTGCTTGAAAAGTAAAACTGATAATAAAGAATCTGTGTTTGGATTGTTTGGATAAAAATATTACGGTTTTTCTTGGTTGCTTTGACCCATTTAAAGAAATTGGATTCCACTCATGTTTGTCATCCCAAATACAGCACAGCAGAGGTCACCTCTTCCAAATGTGTTAACCTTTTCTCAGTGGACTGACACATTTTCTTCACTCTTTTACAAAACTGTTAACACAGATGTCATCCAAGCAGTCCAAACTTTAGCTTTGATAACAAACTGAAACCACCTTTTCCTGACTACCTCAGTATTAAATCACTGAAGCACCTGTTTGGCACTCCTTCAAAAAAATCTTCACTCAGCATCAGTCTGCAGGCCTTAAAATGTGCAGCTTCTGTGTTGTTCTTTATCAGCATTGGTGGAGGAGGTCCAAGACACGAGAGACTGATTATCAATAGTGGGCATTTCTAATACTCTAATAGATTTTATTTTTATTTTCTTCTCTTCTTATATTTTACAATACAACCCGCTAGTATGGACATGGTGTCTATGAAGAATGAGCCTGGTACCARTACCTATTAACAATTCAACACAATTAAAAAGCACTTTATTGATCCCAGAGGGAAATCAGGTGTTGTTGTAACTCATTTAACTAAAAACTTATTGTAGATGCTGATGGCTGTGGGCAGGAA